CAAGAACAGAGACATGACCAAATGATCAGAACAGAGAACCCAGATATAAAATCATCCTCATATTGCCATTTGATCTTTGACAAATCAGAGGAAAATATGGACTGGGGAAAAGAAACCCTATTCAATAAATGGTGGTAGGAAAATTGGGTAGCCACATGTAGAAGACTGAAACATTACATTCACCTCTCACCACTGATAAAAGTCAACTCACAATGGATAACAGACTTAAATGTAAGATATGAAATTATAAGAATTCTAGAAGAAAATACTGGAAAAATTCCCAGCCTAGTCATCAGCCTAGGTAAAGAATTTATGAAGAAGACCCTAAAAACAATCACAGCAACAACAAAAATAAATAGAAGGGACCTGATTAAATTAAAAATTTTCTGCACAGCCAAGGCAACAATCAATAGAGCAAATAGACAACCTAAGGAATGAGAGAAAACGTTTGCACACTGTATATCTGATGAAAGGCCAGTAACCAGAATCTACAAAGAACTCAAGCAAATCAGCAACAAAATATCAAACAACTCCAATAAAACGTGGGCAAAGGCATGAACAGAAACTTTTCAAAAGAAAATAGACTAGTGGCCAAAATACATATGAAAAAATACTCAACATCTCTAATTATCTGGGAAATGCAAATTAAAAGCAAAATGCGATATCCCCTAATTCCAATGAGAATGGTTTATATCTAAATATCTCAAAATAATGAATGCTGATGTGGATGTGGAAAGATAGAAACACTCATACACTGCTGGTGGGAATCAAATTAGTACAACCTCTATGAAAATTAGTATGGAGATAACTCAAAGAACTAAAAGTAGACCTACCATTTGATCCAGTAATCCCACTAACAGGTATTTATCCAAAGGAAAAAAAGGCCATTTTATTAAAAAGACATCTGCACCCAAATGTTTATAGCACAGCAATTCACAATTGCAAAGATGTGGAAGCAACCCAAGTGTCCATCAATATGTGAATGGATTAATAAAATGTGATATATGTATATCATGCAGTAGGACTCAGCCATAAAAAAAAATGCTGAACTAACACCTCTTGTATTAACCTGGATGGAACCGATAATCATTTTTTCTAAGTATTATAAGAATGGAAAAACAAACACCACATGTACTCAGCATTAAACTGGAACTAATTGAACAATACTTATGTGCATGTATAGAAATAAAACTCATTGGGAATCAAGTAGGTGACAGGAGAAGGGGATGGGTAAATTCACACTTAATAGGTATAATGCACACTATCTGAATGATGGGCACACGTATAACTTTGACTCAAACCATAAAAAGCAATTTATGTAAGCATGGCCTCTTATAATTTGAGAGAACATAATAATTTGATTAAAGTATTCTTAGTTTTTGTATGACAGGATTACCATTGTCTTCATAACAGTTACAATCACAAATACCTAGGTTTGCAAAATAAACTGGTACCCTTTAAAGATGAGAAGACATGCATAGTATGTTCAGATGATGTTAACAAGAGACACAATCTGCTGAAAAGTTCTATTCAGAGGACTTATTGAAAATAAAATCAGACAGGTAAGAAATCATTAGATAAATAATTAGAATATTTTCCCACAGGTAATATCGGACAACCAAGAATGTGTCCTCTAGGATGTCCATGCACATTGCCTGTATTTTGGGAAAGTAAGAGTGTATAAGATTATATTCCATAGAGAGACTGTAGGAAAGTTTGGTTAGCCTGGGAGAATTGTTTGGAAAAATACAACAAAATAATTGCAAACAGAAGCATTTAAGTGATTTAGTTCTGAGGAGGGAGAAGATATATTCCCATTGGGAAGAAGTGACTATTTCCTCTATAAGAGCACTTGCTATATGGAAAGCAGGTTGAGGCTGCATTGGAAAATTGTATGGATCTTACACAATGCCATCTTTAAATATTTAAATAAATATTTAAAATACACGAAACCATCAGTGAGAAAGGAGTTACTTCAGCAAAACTGAAATGGTAAATATAAACTATTAATATTTGCTATACTTTTTAATTCAGAACTATCATTGTCAAGACTCAATAAATAATATCAATCATCTAAAATAATGAATATATCTTGTTCTGAAAATGCATTCACTGTTTAAGTCAAAACTGTAGATTTCTGACATTCTGAATTAAAATGTTAAATTAACTAATGTGTTTCAAGTATTTGAAATATATATATACCTAATAAATTTGTCTATTGTTTATAATTATAATATTTATATTATTCATTTAAAGAAAATTGCTCTTAAACTAAAATTTCTTTACTTGTAATGAAAAATAGGGATAAAACTATTTTCAAGCAAAAATAACAGAAAATATGATTAAGAAAAACCAGAACAATATAATTAAATGATACTAATATAGTCACTAAAATAGACTTTGGAGAATTAAAATGATAAGATTTACAACTTTTAAAAGTTCAATTTGGGTATTCAGTCTCTGACTGAGGTAATAAAGAGATATCTCAAAGAGCTAAAAGTAGAACTACCATTTGATCCAGTAATACCATTACTAGGCATCTACCCAAAGGAAAAAAAAAAAAAACAAAAACATTCTATATAAAAGACATCCGCACTTGAATGTTTATAGCTACACAATTCACAATTGCAAAGATATGGAAACAACCCAAGTGACCATCAATACATGAGTGGATTAGTAAAATGTGGGATGTGTACACCATGGAGTTCTACTCAGCCATAGGAAACAATGGTGATTTAGTACCTCTTATATTATACTGGATAGAGCTGGAGTCCAATCTACTAAGTGAAGTGTCACAAGAATGGAAAAACAAGCACCACATGTACTCAACATCAAATTGGTATTAACTGATCAACACGTAGGTACACACATAGTAGTAATATTCACCGGGTGTTGGGAAGGTGGGAGGGGGAAGGAGAGGATGGGTATATTCACACCAAATGAGTGTGGTGTGCACCATCTGGGGTTGGACATGCTTCCAGCTCTGACTCTGGTGGGGCAAAGGCAATATATGTAACCTAAACATTTGTACCCCTGTAAAATGCTGATATTAAAAAAAATAAAATAAAAGTTCACCTTGGGTTTTTTGTGCAGAATGCATTGTGGATGGGCAAGACTATTAGAATAATCCTGGAAATAAGACGGTGAGTTTAAGGAGTTAGGAGAGTAGATAAAAAGAATAAACATATTTTGAAGGTTTGGGAACAGTCAGCAGTATGCTTCAGCCAGTTGGGTTTATACAAGGTCTGGAGAACTTGAAATTTGGTCTTAGAAGTAGGTAAATGTTATAAATCAACCCCTTTCTCACCCTGGCTCCTCTTACCCTCCACAAAGCATGTTTTTGAGTATATGGGAAGTCAGGACAGACTGATAGAATTCACGCAGTTGTGAGAGGAATGGATAAACCACTCTGAATGTTTTGCTGGGAAGAAATGGATTATTGTTGGATGACTAGATTAGACTCCTAGGAAGAAGCTTCAATGGTACACTTCATCTGCATGAACCAGGAAGACAAACAAAATAAAGCCTATTTAGGTAAATGTAGACAGATAATTAATTAATGAGAGGATATTGAAATTTGTGTGGACTTCTTCTGACTCCTTAATTAAAAGTGAGATGATATATTCAGTTAATAGAGATGACAGGTCATGTGGAAATGTGAAGGTAGATCTTTGAGAAGAGGAAATATTAACATAATTGTAATAAAAAGTGGTAGAATGAATAGAGAACACATATTAAGGAATTTTGATAGTAACTTTAAGCAGAAGTCATTGCTTGTTTTCTCTTTGTGTTCACTATTTTTTTTTTTTTTTTTTTGGACACAGGGTCTCATTCCATTGCCTGGGGTAGAGTGCCATGGTGTCAGCCTAGCTCACGGCAACCTCAAACTCCTGGGCTCAAGAGAACCTCCTGTCTCAGCCTCCCGAGTAGCTGGGACTGACACCCAGCTCATTTTTCTATGTATAGTAGAGACGGGGTCTTGCTCTGGCTCAGGCTGGTATGGAATTGCTGAGCTCATGCAATCCTCCTGCCTCTGCCTCCCAGAATGCTAGGATTACAGGCATGAGCCAATGATACTTTCCTGTGTTTACTATTTTAAATAAGACCAAACACATATGTGTTTCCATTGAATGTATTTTTCTCCGATGCCTCAGCTCCTGATCAGAAAAATAAAAAGTTGGTTTTAACTAAAGCCTGGCTTTTATCATGGAAGAAACATAGAAAAAGAGGCTTAGATGTGGTTTAGGGAGGTTTTGAGTGGGAAGCTTGGTTTCTAAACCTAGCAAAGAGATAAATATGAATATAATTGGTTATAGAATATCAAATATGTTGAATTACATTGATTATATATCTTGAGGTTATGAATTAATAATTATTAAATGCAATTATCACCATACAAGAGATGATACGACAATTTGTAAAAACAGGGGCCTGATCTGAATTCTTACACATTCACTTAAACAAATAAGACAATCATATGAGAATAGAAAACAAAAATGCAAAACCTTATTCCCTCAATGACAAACAAATGGGAAAACCAAGTCCTGTTTGAGTATAATGTGAAGGATTCAAATTCTTTGTACAAAGTAGAACAAAAAGGAAATAGGCAAGATCTCAAGGAAATATTTGAGACTTAAAGGAATAACATATTTGGAAAGAGTGGAGTCTTTCTAAAAAGGGAGGTGGTTTGAGCAAATTCTAGGGTTAAACAAATCAGACTGAAAGAAAAAGCTCATCTGCATTATCCCTTCTGGTATTGTAAGTTAATTAAAATTGTGTAGCTATATGTATCTTATTGGTACAATTAGAGTGAAAATCTATCATTATAAATCAATTGCTCAAGCATTTAATTGATTAAATTGATTTTGTTTTTCTGCAGATGTGTTCAATGCTTCTGGTTCACATCAAATTTCCCAGTATCACAGAATACAAATGTTAGAAAGAAACTGACAAATTTAAAAATCAAAACCTATGTCTCAGTCCAATCATTAAAGACAAAAATGCAGCCAAGAAATGTAACTCCACAGATAGAAAGTGAATTGAAAATTACAGAAACAAATCTTACTACAATAATAGAATTTATTCTCCTGGGCTTTTCTGATATTCCCAAATTTCACTGGCTTCTTTTTGGTCTATTCTTACTCATCTATGTGATTATTCTACTGGGAAATGGCATCATAATTCTAATAATAAGAGTCAATCCTACTCTTCAGACTTCCATGTATTTTTTCCTCAGCAATTTTTCTTTCCTAGAAATGTGTTATGTGACTATCACTCTTCCTCGAATGCTCATGGATCTTTGGACCCTCAAAGGAAATATTTCTTTTTTTGTCTGTGCTGCACAGATGTGTTTTTTCCTCACGCTGGGAGCCGTAGAGTGTTTCCTTCTGGCCGTGATGGCGTATGACCGCTATGTGGCCATTTGTAACCCTCTGCATTATCCTTTAATCATGAACCACAAAGCCTGTATCCAGTTAGTAGCTGGTTGCTGGATCAGTGGAATTCCAGTGGCCATAGGGCAAACATACCAAATTTTCTCTCTGCCATTTTGTGGATCTAACCAAGTCAACCACTTCATCTGTGACATTCCCCCAGTGCTCAAGCTGGCCTGTGGAGACATCTTTGTGAATGAGATGTTCATCTACATATTTAATATACTATTTGTGACAGTTCCCTTTGTGTTGATTCTTGGGTCCTATAGCAGGATCATCTCAACCATCCTGAAGTTGCCATCAAACACAGGACGGACCAAAGCCTTTTCCACTTGTTCGTCCCACCTCATAGTTGTCGTTTTATTCTATGGATCAGCCACTATCACCTATTTGAAACCCAAATCCAATCAATATGAGGGAATAGACAAACTGCTCTCTCTTTTCTACACCATTTTGACCCCAATGTTTAACCCTCTAATATACAGTCTGCGGAACAAAGATGTTACAGAGGCCCTGAGGAAAGTGCTTCCCAAGCTGTTAGGACTGTGTGGCAATTGAAGTTAACAGAATTTATTGTTTGTCGTATTTAATTTTTATGAAGATTCATTTGATTTAATTTTCTTTTAGTGAACCTTTATGTCCTTAGAGTTGTGACAACTGTATTAATTTATTTAGTAATGCTGTATTTTAAGGATCAATCTTCCCTCTCACCATAAGCTCTAAATTGGGACATGTAACTATAAAAGGTGATGTTATATAGAGAGTATCTCGTCATTGAATTCATGACATTTTCCATTCCTTTTTTGAAGTCTTTCTGAAGAAACAAGCATTCTTAGATACTACATATCCATTACTAAATAATTATCTAATAGAAATAAAAACCTAAATGCACAAGAGTATGTACAAAATGGTTAATACAAATAATAATTGTATAATATGTTTATAGTAGCACTATGTGTCTAAGAAAAAGGCATAAATAAATGCACATTCTGAGAATTCTTTTAGTAATTACAGCACATACATACAATAGACAATTATGTGGTCATTAAAAAGACCATGCTAGGATATGGGCGGTAGCTCACGCCTGTAATCCTAATACTCTGGAAGGCGGAGGAGGGAGGATCGCTTGAGCTCAGGAGTTTGAGACCAGCCTGAGCTAGAGTGAGACCCTATCTATAAAAAGAAAAAGAAAAAAGAGCCTACACCTATATGGTAATAACCTCAATCATTGTTTCTTGTGTTGACACCTTTTTTGTTGTCCTCTCCCATATTGACCCTTGGTTTAGCCATGTAATTAGCTTTGGTCAACAGAACATTAACAAGCATGAATTAGTCCTTTGGCATTAGGACGGTCACGTCTTACTTTGTAAACTTTCTACTACTGTGTCAAAAAGCTCAGACTAAACTCCTGGATTATGAGAAAGCACATAGAAAGAGGCCACAGCTCATATCCAAACTGTATAATAACAAAATTAAATTTAAACAGACTTACAATACCATAAGCTATTTGAGGAGTTTTTAACGTGTTAACATATTATTCAATATTCTCTACTATTTTTAAGCCATGTTATATTTAAGCTTTTAAATTTTGTTTATATCTTTCTATATTGGAGAATTTGCTTTTAGATATGTTTTAAAATGTCTTTGAGTGGTAGATTTTTTTTTAATTCTTTGCATATCTAAAAATTTATTTCATAAAATTAAACTCTTTGGTTCAAAATAAAAGGTTCTGTGCCATACCAGAGATCAAAATTAACAACAAAAATATCATCAGTAATAATACAAAGGGAAGGAGTATGTATACTGTCAGATATTGAAAGGGTGAATAAAAATGCATGTATCTACAATACCGAACAAAACAACATTATGTATTCTTTCTAAGAATTTTTAAGTGTTCACCATGATAAACCAAAAGCTGAAGAATAAAAATATCTCAATACTTTAAATAAATAATACAGAATATGTTTTTTGGCCACAATGGTGCTAAATTCCAATTTTGTTTAGTTGTTTGTAATAGAGGGAGAGGGTGCTTGACGAAATTTCTGGATGTGATAGATATTTTACTGATACATTCATATGCCAGCTTTTCAAATCTCAGGCTTTGAATGCCTGTTCTTGGTTATGTTTCAGTTATACATTAATGATATTGTTTGAAAAATAAATAAGTATTGAAATTGAATTTAAAATACAGAAACTTTCAGTAAAAGAAAACTAAGAGAATCCATTACTAACGGACCTAACCTACAAGGAAAAAAAAAAGTTCTTCAGGCGGAAGAGGATACCAGACAAAAATATATATCTTCAGAAAAAAATAAAAAGCATGAACCCTGGTAAATGTATAGGTAAACATTAAATATTATATTTTCTTTAATTTTCTTTAAAATATATATAAGTTTTTAAAGCAAATTTTTTTTTTATATTTTGGGGGATTATAATGTATGAAAATCTAAGACTTACGTAGACATTGCATAAAGGATAATGAAGGAGTGTTGAAGAGACTCATTTGGTTTGAAATTTTCTACATTTTAAATAAAGTGGTACATATTAAACTCACATAAATCATATGGTGTTAAAAAGTATATTCTGTTCTCTAGAGGAACTACTAAAATTCCAAGAAATAAAATAAAATAGAACTTCAAAACTATTAAATAGTCCAAAGGAATACTGGAAAGGGGAAAAATTTTTTCAAATTCCCCAAATTTTTTTGTGTTTATTAGATTTATTGTGTTTATTATGTAATTTATTGTGTTTATTTTTGTGTTTATATATTTCATTGTGTTATTTAGAAGATTTTTTTAAAAGGTTGAATAAATATTACTGATAAATCTAAACACACCAATGACTACGCTGAATGTTAATTTAATTCAGTTAAATAGTATAATTGAAAAGTAGAGAACAGATTGCAAAGCAAGATTCAAATATTAATATATGCTATCTATATGAGACACACTTATAATTAAAATATATAAATAATTAAAAATAAATGATAGTAAACAAACATATCATGCAAACCATAAGCATAAGAAGCTGGAATGACTATTATAATATGGGAAAAAGCAGGCTTTAAGATAAAATGTATTACCAAAGTTAAAGAAGTATATTTTATAGAGATGAGAGAAGTAATTCATTAGGAATACATAAATATAAATTCATAAGCATCCAGAATCAGAGACCCAAAATTTAGGAAGTAAAATTTGAAATAATGAAACAGATTATTTTATAATCCAGGTAGAAGATCTTCACATCTATTTTTCAATCATTGATGTAACACTAAAAAAACTTTTGTTGATGATGTAAATGTTTTGAATCTTTGTTCTGGCTATGGTTTCACCAGTATATATTTCTGTAAGAAATCATAGAATTTTGAAACTCATTAAATATATTTCAAAGAGTATTCTTTATTTTATATAACTTATGCTTTATTATGTTGCTAATATAAGAAAAACTCTATATTTAAAATAATAATGCCATTGAAATAGAGCAAATATACTTCGGAAAGAAACTAAAATATATCAATATGTAGTAAGAGTTATAATTCTATTTAAGTAAGTTTTTATATTTATGATTAAATCTAACTACAGACATATATGTTAAGCATAGCATTTTGTTTTTCAAATTTGTTTTTAAATTATTATATTATTGCTTATTTACAAGCCAAACAACATCAAATTGAAGAAATCAGGAAATTGATCTCCTTACACCATTAGTTCCCCAATATTGAATCCCAATGTATATCATCTGAGGAATAAAGGCGTCATGATAGCACTGAGAAATTTACTAAGTTATTAACATGAGTTAAAGACTTGAACATACAAAAATATTTGCATACCTGCTTGTCATGTAGATAAAACAACCCCCCAAAAATCTAGTTTATTTCTAAATTTCTAAATGTGTTTGGTAATAACATTACATTTTATCAAGGGAACTTTGTTTCATAGAATTTAGTAAAGGGCTTCTGTGTAATCAAAGCACAAATTAAATCAACTGCAATGATTTAATTTTGAAGACCAATCTTTCCTCTCATGCTGAACTAGTGAGTTAAGAGATTCATCAAACATCGCAAGGGAAGATATTTGAGGGTGTTGTATAACCAGATATTAAGGTCATCCTTAGGGCGGGTGTTATCCTTTCCATTCCTTCAGATGTATTTTCTGCCCTTCTCTGATACTGTGGTTGGATTTAGTCAATTAGCAAAATCACAATAGTTAAGACAGTAGAAGTAGGGAAATAGAGATAACTTGGGTTATTCTTTAGCTTCTATCTCTTGTTTCTGTCCCAGTCCCTTCACTAAATTCAGATGGATGTCCCCTCTTCTATTGTCCCAGATCTCACTATTATCTGATAACATTTTTGTTCTCTCCTTATAGCTTCAGCTCTTGCTTTAGTAATACCTGCCTATTTTTTCAAGGTTCTGATTTTTCAACATACCCATCTATACTAATGTACTGTGGGTTACCTTGTGCCCTCCCAAAAGGTATGTTCACCCAGAACCTGCAAATGTAACCTAATATTGAAATGACATGTGAAGGTATAATTAAGGATTTGGAAAAGAGATTATCCTGGGTTAGGTCGGGGCCTAAATCCAATGACAAATGTCCTTATAAGAGACAGGCATGCAGGGGAAGTTTAGGCAACACATGCACAGACACAGGAGAAAGTCATGTGAAAATAAAAGCAGAGATTGGAGTTATGCAGCCACAAGCCAAGGAATCCCAGGAACCACCAAAAGCACATACAAGTTGCAGTAATAACGAGGTGTGCTTTGTAATATGGGCTGGTAAATATCATAATTAAGAAGGAAATGTTGAGATATATCATTCTGTAATTAGGGCCAAAAAAGGTATGCACTCACTTTTTTCATTAGTAATTTTACTAGAGATACTAGATTCTGCGTGTAAAAATATATAACAAAAATGATAAGAATTCTTCCTCAGAGTGAATGGGATTGAAAAAAAGAAAATAAATAAATAAATAAGAAAAACATTATAAGAATTGGAAAGAAATAATTCTGATTATTGGCTTTGATTGATTTTATTTATATATATTTATATATATGTACTATAGAAAATATAACAGAATCTACTGTTAAATTATTAGAGTCAATAAGTGAATTTAACATTTTTGTTGGGTATAGAGTCAATAAAAATATATCAATTTTATTCCATATAAAACAAGCCAACCAAATACAATATTAAAAATACTATGTGAAATAGGATCAAATTATCAAATATTTAAGAATAATTCTAATACAAATGTATAGAAAGTCTACTTAAAAATTATGAAATAACTTGAGGAAGTAAATAAATGGATTTCTATAACATGTTCATGTTATGGAAAATGTTATGGAAAACTCAATATTGAAAATATATAAATTCTCATGATATATTAATAAGTCATAAATTTAAAGAAATAGGATAAAATTGTGTGTGTGTGTGTGTATGTGTCTGTATGTGTGTTATTTGGCAGGCTGCTTCTCAAATTCTTATGGAAATAAAAAACAACCAATAATAGCCAATGTGCTCTTGAAGAGAAGTAAAGTGGGAGAATCTATTGTAGTG